TTTTTTGCACTACGTTATACTGGGGTTTTGTCAATCAGGTAATCATGAATTAAAATATATTATCAATTTGAAAAATATTTCTCTTTAGGCTATATTTCGTCTTTGTCGAATTGTGTATTCAACTCATAGGTGGCTTCAACATTTTTGGTTATATATTATTATACCTCCCATTGAGTTTATTTTAAGTTGTGCACTGTTGTGTCCACTCCTTTTCTGGCATCATATTGTTTATTTACCACAAGAATACTATTGTTATGTACCATACACAAATATTCTTGGCATTCTTTGGGTAATATTAAATGCTTATGGAAATCCTTTTTTATTATTACTGGTAATCTATTTACGCATTACAATATTTCTTCGTCGACAACCTATTAATCAAACACGTGTAGTTAAAAAACGACAAGAACGAGATTTACTTGTGATACGACGTATTTTTATAGCTGTCGGTCTACTATTAACTCTTGGGATGCCATCTGTAATTCTCTTAGTAATGTACCTAATCACAGGTGAAAAGAGTCCTCTTTTTTTCCGTATTGAATGGCTTTCGGTTAGTGTATCGATGATAGGATTAAGTGTCGTGCTAGTTTTGTTTACTCCACAATTAAAAAGTATTATTTTGAAAAAATATCAACGTAATCAAGTAACACCTCCGGATGGTCCATTAGCAGGCTCAGTTCAAATAAGATATATTACAACCACGCGTTAAATAACTATATAACAATATAAACTATATTTTTTGTTGTGTCGTATATTTTAATGTTCATGATTTAATTAGTTGTATTTTGCGGTTCGTATCTGTGTTGTGAAAAAAATAAATCTCTTCTTATTTTAAGTATGCTTACAAGCAAAAGCTCACTATATCAAAAATAAATCGAAATTGAGGGTGTAATTAAATGTGAGAAAGAATGTTTCAAATGTCTATACCCATAGACACAGATACACCCTAAGTAATTAAAGAGAAAATAATAGATAAACAAAAAAATATAAGCGACAGAACAGTTGACGATAGTTAATATTGTTATATGATGTGAAAGTAATTAGCAGTAAAATAATAGCATGGCGATGACACTATCTCTGCCATTTTCACCTATGGCAATAATTTTCATTTGTCCATCACCATGAATATCCATTGATTTTGTCTTCATTGGAAGAAATCTTTTTGGAAAGATTGTTTCGTTCGTAAATGTTCCATTTCCTATGTTGAAATAAACACCGATTTCGCCAGGAGAGTAATTTGTCATAATAACATCTAGTGTTTTATCATTATTAATATCACTTATTGCTCGAACATTAGCTCCATATAACTTTGTAGAGATAACTCGATGATAGAATGTTTCATCGCCAGTATTATAAAGAATAGTAATGGCATGGGTCCAATACTTGGTGGTGATAACATCGACTTTTTGATCATTGTTCATATCACTTGTCGAAATATCTGCCGCTGTGCAAACCAGTTGAAAATTTTTTTCTTCAGCCAACTGGCCACTAGCAACATTTAAAAAAATCTTCAGATGAGCTCTTTGTGAATCTAAGATAATAATATCATCGTTGTTGTCTCCCTTTATGTCGGCAATTGCCGTAGAAACTAGACGCATGAAGATAGAATATCCATAATTCTTCAGAACAAAGACGGTTGAACATGATTCTAATAAAAGATAACATTGATTATCACGAAGAACTCAGGATTATTGCTTTGCTCCCTCACAATTTCTTTATCTATTTTTTTATTCAAATTCGGCTAAAAATATTCTCTAACACAAAATAGAGAGCTATTAAAAATGGACATTTAAAACGACGCAGATAACACAAAATATTATTGCTTTTCTTTTCGAAAAAAATGATACATGTTGTCGATTTTATTGTTGTTGTAGTTATAGTAGTTGAACTTGTTGTTTTCGCTTTTTTTATGGTAGTAAAAGTTAATATGATAGCAATAATTAAAATTAATCTTTTAATTCCAATAGATAGACATCTGAAATAATTGAATTATTGTGCTAATGAATAATTAAAGTATAGAAGATACATACGATCTTGTTTGTAAAACAGTCGATTCTTCATCATTGTTTTTATTAGTTGATTAAAACTGAAAATCAAAAAGAAAAAGTTTTATTTAGAATTATTTAAAGAATATACATTATTGTCGTTGCTCATATTTGAATCAATCTATTGTCAAAATGTAACGATTTATTTGTAGATGATTATATTTAAATATGTTTAAAAAAAACAAATGAAGGAGAAAAACTTCTCTATTTATGAGTATTCACTAATGTATTTCATCAGTTGTTCATCTTTTTACTCTTTGGTTGTTGATCATTGTATGAACGAGGAAGTTTGTTTTACTGAATATCATAGAACGAGTAACGAGATAAATTGTCATCTGTTCAATAATTAGTAAAGCGACACGTATGATCTAGTTATGCTGATAATAAACGATAGAGTATTACAGAGTAGAAATTCTAGATTTCGATATTTTTTATGCAACATGCACTATGCCTACACGACGAAGGATTACTCATCGAAACAATTATAATATCATCTTGAGATAAAGATATAGATATTTCGAGTTTTATTAAAGGCAAACACTTCATTTTATATTGTAGATTTTGTTTTCTTATTTATTAGTTTTTATCAGTATTTTATCTTTAATTAAGGGACAGATCCTTTACACTGTTACTTCTCATCACAAAATATTTCAAATAACTTGAATTATCAATCAGAAGATGAAAAAATGCTGATATAATCTGAATATTGTCTTCATCTTATTATTTTGAAAAGAAAAGTTACATTTATACAACAGTAAAAGGAGTACATTATCTTGCTATGTTCCAAAAGTTAATAGAGACAATTATATTTGACGATGATATATATAAAAGATACCTTGTTCTATAATGTTAATATACATGTATATATACTTGAAAGATCAAGAGAAAACAAGAAAACTTGATTCTATACAAATAACTCGGGAATCCGGGTTGTATGTGAATGATTCAGAAATATATGTATGACTTAAGACCATGCCATTCTGTTGCTTAGTTTCAGTGCATGTTGTACTGAATTAAATAAATAAATATTTGAAATTCAGCAATCTCTTTAAGGTTAGGATACGATGTTGATGTTGTTGTAATGGTATCATGTCGACAAAGAATACCATATGTGTAATACATAAAGAAAATGATAAAATCGTAGAAAGCATGCGAACAAATAGCGGCAGGCAATCCATAATTCATCATAATCCAAAAGTAAAAAATTCCAATACACCATGAATTATATCACCCGAAAAGTCCAAGGTATAAATGTTCATCTCGAAATTTTCCATTTACAATTAATGCAGCTGATTCAATTGACCAATGAACTTGATTGTACAACAACCATTTTAATTTATTAAACAATATATTGTTGATAAAGAATGTTTTCAACAACAACATATAGATCAAATGGATGATGATGAATCGTTGGCATTTGCCATACAAAGATTCATAGATGATATAAAAACAAAAATTCAATATATAATTATTAACTGTTTAGTTGTCTAAATAATAGATTTCTTTTGTGATCTCTTTAATTTGTCAAAAAAAAGCATATATTCTTTTTCTTAACATTACAGCATAAAGAAATCATCTCTTTCGAAGCTTCCTCTTAGAGAAGTCAATTTTTCGAAAAATGAATGACGTCGAAATTTAAACATATTCTAATAGTCTTCGTAACGAACTACAATCTAGCATAATTGTTTTTGGAGAGATTTTTTCTCAATATATACTGTTCAGTAATAAATAGTGCTTTATAATAACTCAAAAAACGCAATGCTAATAATACTTTTTATATTTTTGTTTGACAAAAAGAGCTGTACAATATAGTGATTAAATTAAAATACATAAGTTTCATTATTTGATTTTCGTCTCATTTTCTAGCAAAAATTAAGAATGGAAACTTCGTTACAAGGACTATCAGAATATGTATAAATCTTAAAATGGTTTTTTTCCGATAAATTGATTTTTCAGAGGGGCTCTCCAACCTTAAATAAATAATTATTTATAATAATTTATTCCCCTGAGTTAACTAAAAACTGTTAAAAAAATGAGTAACTTGAAAAACAGTGTAATTTTTTTATGAATATATAATCAGTTATTGTTGATTTACTTTTCGAAAGATTAAAGCACATATTTGAATACGGTACGCATACTAGAAAAATTATATAAATTAACTAATCGATATTACTTGATGAAAAAGTAGATTTATACATAATAATATCAAAATAATAGTTAAAACTATTAATTAACTTAGAAAAGAAAACATTATTGAACATAGTTCCAAAAACTTAATCAGATAGATGACTAATAATGATTGAATTATATTTAATAATTTCTCCTTAAACAAAGAAAAAATAAAAATTTTAAAACAGATCGTTTTTACTAAAAAAAATAAATTAATAAAAGACTAATTAGAATTGAATTTTGAGGGTATTGTTTTATTTCATACGTATAAAATAAAATTTCAGAGAATATCCTATGAAATGATGAAAAGTTCATGTAAATCACTTGGGTTGCATAAAAGATACTTAAATTAAATTTTTCGGCAGACGTTTGGAACACGTTCTACATTGTTGTTCTTTTTTTCAAATCTTACAAAATATGACCAAATCATCTTTACATATATAACAAATAAATTAAAACTGATTTAATATATTCTGTTGATACGACAAAATTTCCTAATACATATTTCTTATTCTTTTTCTTCACCTATAACAGTAAAGATAATATTTATCACGTGGACGACAAACAAAATCATTCTCTACGTACACTCTTCTGTTTTTTGTATAATTCTGTTCTATTTGAATTGAAAGAAAAGTAGCAAATGCTTCATTGATCGTTGTAATAGAAGAACGAAGCAAATGTACGCTTCTATGATTGGTAATTAGACTATTACATTTGTTAGTTCTTCTTATATGTACGATTAAAAATCAACCGTTACATGCGCACTCTTCGTATTACGCTGCGTATATTTTCGTTAAGATAAAGCAGAAAACTAGTCCATGCATGAATGATCATTGCAATTACAGAGGTATATAGAAGTGTGTTTTTTGCATTTTTCTCTTATTGTTTGGTCATATTCGTTTATATTCGTGTCATTCGCTTAAGCATTTATTACTTCTTTACTTCAATCGTCGTGAACATTACTGAAGGGGTAATTACTATTATGTTATTTCTACAGTATTTTACTGAAATATTTTATTATTACAGATTCTTACTTTAAAAAAATTGTTCTTTTGAATTATACATATTATATGTACTAGTGAGAACCCAAACTAGTAGCTCACAAACAGATTCATAGTAATTGCAACAAATACATTGTAATGAGCGAGTATGCATTAGAGTTGAAGAAACAAAAGATAGTTATTATATTCAAATCATTGGATAAATTCATCATTAATAAAAAATATTAACTAATTTTCTTTTCTTTTCTTTTCTTTTCTCAAAATAGTTTGCAACAGCTATCTATACAAGACAAGGCGTTGATATCAAAGCAAATTGTTTGTTTGATTGATCGAATACTTGTATATATAGATACAAGTGAACGATGGAATCGGACATAAATCAGGTAAGAAACAATTACTGTTAGAAGAAGTAAATAAATTGTTTAAAAGATATTAGCAACAAAGAATGTAGATAATAGATCACTTGAGAACCATCTAGTAAAAATTAGACAGTATATTTTGAACAGTAGTAATTGTAATTGATGACGAAATTGATATATAGGATATCATAATAAATAAAAGAGTCGTACTAGTCGTTAGCAACATTATATAGTCTTACATGAAGTAATACATGAAAAATCAATGATTTTTATTTATTTTTCGAGATTAATTATTCATGTTGTCTTCATTCAGATTGAACTGGTTTGTATCAATAATGATACAAGATCAACTGAAGGTTCGATTGCTATACAACAATCGTCTACTGATGGTGAAGAAAACTTACAATTAGGTTTGAATACACAAGAACCAACAGTAGATGGCAATGATACCATAGATCAGGTTACAACATCAATTTCGTCATGGGATCTGTAAGTCGTTTTTATTATTGTAATCTTAGACATAATATTGATGCATTGTTTCAGAAAATGTTATCACTGGACAATATCAGGTTCAACCGTTGGTGCTATGGGATTTTTTATATTTACATGTATTGTAATGACAACTGGCATCTTAATCGTTTGTTTTACTTCCCCAAAATCACATGGTAAGTTCTTATAGCATTTAAATCACTACAGCAAGAAATAATCTCATGATAAGTCTCAGTGTGACGATATCTACTAATTGAATTTAGTTCCAGATATTTGATAATTTCTATTGTATTTTTTAGGACAAAAATGTAAATTCAGTATTTCACAAACAGCCACGAATCCAATTGAATATAACTATGGTCCACGATCTGTTGCTGTTGGTGATTTCAACAATGACACTTGGATAGATATGGTAGTTGCCAATTCGATTGTTAACAATATCGGTATCTATTTTGGTTATGAAAATGGTACGTTTGTCAAACAGATCGAATATTCAACTGGTTTAGGTTCCAATCCTTATATGGTTGCAGTTGGT